GTGACAGTGTAACGAACATCTCGGTGCAACAAACAATTACCTCCTGACTCAACATCACGAGGATTCTTTTGACGAATAGAAAAAGAATAAAACTTTCGAATATTCTATTTGGGCGAGAAGAAGTGTGTAAGTTTAATAAATTTTGGGCCATCAATGGTTAATGGCTGCACCCATATATTAGGACCCTCCTAAAACTTTTTCACCTCCCATTGTCAGAATTGAAGTTTCCAGTTGTCTATTATTTTCTTCCGTGGTTAAAAATGGTGTACAAACAGAAGTTTTTGGCCAGATTCATTGTTCTCCTTCATCGCACTGAGGCATACCATTACTATAACATGACGTAAAATTCATGGTAAATTGCAAAAGAGGTACTAGGTAACCCAAAGCAATCTCTTATTCCTTGGCGTTTCCAATCTTCTGAATCAACTCCCTTGACAGCGTTCCTTTCTCCTTATTCTCTCTCCTTAGCTTGGCTTTCTTTCAGTATTAGTATTCCGGCATTAAGGTATTCTGAAATTCCGCGACGTGGCTTCATTACACGCGTATTTTCGAAGTTCTCAAAACATTGCTCAAGTCGCGAATTACCTGTGTTAATACCATACTGTTAATCAGAGACTAGTCACGTATCCAGGCCGTCCACAGCCAAGTTACAGTTGCACGTTAGGATTTGGGCACTAGATTAATGAGAGACCAGGAGGTTTCATGAGCCAACTGGCCATTTTCCGTGATATTTTTCATTGGGTCAGACTTTAAACAATTTGTTTCGGCCGTTCCCCATTCCAAGCTCTGGAAGCTTCCTTGCTTTTCCTTCTAAGAACTTTCATGCCGGTAGGAACTCTATATCGATCTAACAAAATGATTCTCAACTTGTAGTACAAGCTAAATCTGCATACTTGCTAAAGCCGAAAAAATCTTGTTCATTGGCTTCTCTGCAGTTGTAACAAAAAGCTTTGTTACGTGCTATGTTGGGGACAATTCGCAGAGTGCTTTTTTGACGCGTGGTTTTAGATCAAAACGCTTTAATTTAGGTCAACTCGTGATTGTGTACAACTTTCAAATTACAGACATTTCCACCATTTAAAAACACCAAAATATTTGATAACCACAAAGAGTCAATTACGTTGAAATCAAACGCTCACCATTAAGGTCTGTTTGCACGAAAGCGTACATGTATGTTTATATGTAACCGTCATTTCTTGATAGAAAATGTTGCCTCAACATATAATCATACATTTTATTGGTCCTTCATGTTTGTTTTAGTCTTCGCCGTTCCCTATCGTTGTCTTCATACCTCGATTGCCGCGCAAACATTAAATATTTTGGCTGGCTTCTGCGCAAATGGACTCTCAAGGCAAGATTAAATCTACCTGATTGCCATTTTCGTTCAAATCAATGCGGTGCTGATCAGAGTATACATGTATTTCCTGAAGTTAAGCAGTTGGCATTTGTTTTCGTGAAAGTTTTACAAGGATTTGCCGTCACCATCCTACCGTAGGACGATCTTCACTGGTGGTTGCTCGTCACGCCACCTTTTTATCGCTGTGATTGGTTGGTGATTGAAGGGGTTGCAGGCGATATTTCTTTCACGCTCTTCCCCTCGCGTGTGACTCGTACTTCGCGCTCGCCTCGCGCTTACCTCCGTTTGACTGAAAAGCGCAAAAAAGTTACGTCTGTTCTTCAGGCTACTAGGCAATGTACAGCTTACGATGGAGCGATTTTAAACTCTCATGTGAGTGTAATTCGGTTATGCATCCTCAATTTTGGGAATGTTCTACGGTTTTCTATCGTTATTCGTAATCTTGGTGATCTGTGCCCAATCAAAATAAGCATTTTTGTCTTGGAAACAGTCTTAATTCTGAACAAGAGACGACGACACTGTCTTTAGCGTAGGTTATGGCACGTCGCCCTCGTTGTGCACACCGACAATCAAACTTTGTAGAAATATAACTCTTGATCGCTGTGCTCTTTTAAAAAAAATTGAAATAAAAATGAATTGAGAGAAAAAAAATTTTTGTTATTCTTAAATACTAAGCATCTCTACGATGTGATTTGCACGCCAAAACGTTTTGCTATTTTGTAATCTTTCAAACAGTTAATACGTGATCAAAATTTGCTCGCATGCACGAAATCCTAATTATGGCAAAACATTGCATATCTTATCAATTTATTAGTTTATTGTTTTTTTTCAATTTTCTCAATTTCCTTTTCCTTAATGCCTTCATTATAGATATAAAATTGAACGGAATCTATTTAAGATACAAAGTACGCGTATAACAGCATAAAAGAAAAAATAGTAAAGTTTGTACGACCAGTCACATCTCACCATTTAACAAATAGAGAAGCCTTGACTGTGCTCTGTTCTGTTTTATAAAATAATTCAAATAGTACGCGCGCTCTGATTGGCCATAAAACCATTTTACATGAGCGTATGTAAATACGGTTTTCGTTCCTCTTTCATTAGTTATTTTATAAAAGAAATGTAAAATGGTTTCCGTGTTTACATAGCCTGATGTAAACACTTGGGAGGTTGGGAGAACACTCGATAAGATGGAAACCACTCCGCTCCGCGTCGTGGTTTCCTACGCTTATCTCGTGTTCTCCCAACCTCCCGCGTGTTACATCAGGCTATGTAAACACGGAAACCATTTTGCATTTCTTCAATAAAGCACGCAGGAAGCGGCTAGAGTACGAAAGAAATGTAGGGAGAAACACGAGACGTAGTCGAGTGTTTCTCCCTAAGTGCTTCCTAAGTGCTTCCTTAGTGCTTCCTAAGTGCTTTATAACAGAACAGAACACAGTCAAGGCTTCTCTATTTGTTTTGTAATAAAGAATCCATTAAATTCCCCGAGCATTCCTTTCAATTTTCAAAACAAACTTTATTTCCAAAGCGTCGTCAGTATGCTCTATACTCTCATAAAGCAAGCTACAATAAGTCAGTCAGAATCCCTGTTAGAATGGTTCAAATAATCTGATTGGCTGTACAAGACT